ATTCCTTTCACGGACGGATGGGAGAAGCCCTCTCGCAAAACTTCTTCTAGGTAAAGACCCTGTTCACCCAAAAAAAAAAATTTCTAATTCATTGTGTTCTGGCAAAGGAGTCAAAAAAAGTTAACTAGGTGAATTGAATTACGTTAGGGGCGGCGCTGATTAAATTCGTTGAATCTTCAGAGGCAGAATGACTATAAGAGAGAGAGGAGATACTCACTTGTGTTTCCTTAGTAAGAGTTTTGCTAATATCAACTTCTGTTAGCCAAATTGGAAGTCCTAGCGTAGCAAGTTTATCGAGAATGGCTCTCATTAGAGGAAGATTAGGTACTGTAAAGTGACCCTCAAGGCCGATTCCACCCATTGTTACTCCGCCTAGCTTGAGTTCTCTTAGCCTTGAGATATAGGTGTCTACTGTGGAATTAACGTCATCACAAGTCTCAACTACGTTAAATTCGTTCAGAAACAATGTTGCTAAGGGGTCTGATTTATGCGCTGTCTCAAAGAAGCTTAAGGTGGCATTTCGTCCAAGCCGTTGCTCGTAGAAATCAAAATGAAGCATTTCATTGCTCACATCCCAGTGGATAAATTCTTCTTTGTATTTCTCCATGAGGCTCTTTATTCTGGAGTTTACAGCTGACTGCAGCATGGAATCTGTCAGATTGAGAACCCATTCTGGTGTGTACTTGGGGTCCTCCCAGAATATGTTGTGGCCTCGAACAATGATTTGGTTGGCTCGTAGCAACTCCAGCATTTGATCAGGTATCGTGTAGTTGATCTGCCCTTGTTTAGGCTCTGTTGCATACCACTTGAGCTCATTTTCAAAAACTGCTGCGTTAAACCGCTCTTTGAACCAACTCTGAAACCATAGAGAGAGACTCTGGTTAACATTGAGCTCTGCTTCTGGCATGAAATAAGTCAATCCGTTGAAAAATGCAAACGCCGTCAGCATGTTGGCTCAAGTCATAGTAAACATTTGCATTGCGGCTAAGCTACTATATATGGGGCTTCAGTGACTGATTTCAGACCTGGTATCGCAAATTCCCGATGATGGTCTTTGCTATCGCTGAACCAAATGGGAAATCTTTTGCTACTTGTGTTACTGTTATTTCTGCACCTTCCAGTTCAACGCCATCTTTGCTGGAAACATGAATAGCGACTGCTCGCTTCCTTGCCTAGAAAATTAGATACGTTAAAAATACATGGCTGATTCCGGCCGGGGCTAACATATTCCATCAGAATATGCCTATACATCAGGAGCAGAAAATGCATGTCGAGCTCCAGATTATTGGGAAATAACGAGTTGGAAGGGCATAGTCCAGGTTTTGTGCTCCTCCGCCTCCAAATTGGTGCGAGTTGTGTGTATTTCAATTACCTTGTTAATTTTGTACTGCTGATTTAATCTCCACTGCTCCTCAGTGAATGGCTGCAAGGAATAGCTGGAAAGCACCATACTGATATCTCTGCCCTCTGAAGCCTGCAGAGAGAAAGAAGAAAGCTTATGACCTCGCTTAGTTTCTAGGACTAGGCAACTCCACACGTGTAGGTTCATTTCTGTCATACACATCGTTAAATGGCGACAAAATACCTGCAAATATAGTATTGAAGAACTGGACGGAGCGGTCAATACGAATCCGCCCTTGAGAAATGACCAGCATCCACCCTCGGCAACAACAGTCCCGGTACAATTTTGGGTCGTTGTCTCTGTAACCAGGGTGGCCCTTATGAGTACTGAGCCGGCATCGTTTATCTTGACCCAAGCTGCAAGGGAAAGGCAAAGATGTTGTGAGGTCAAAAAAGTGACAGCAGAGAACAAAATCTGATTAGAAAAGAAAAAAAAAATTGAGTGAGGAAATCAACTGGAAAAACAATAAAAGGTGTCCTGGGCGAGGTTTTGCAGTCGAAATGCAGGGGAATAAACTGGATTCCCTTTGGCCCCTATGACCCATGTGTACTCTGGCTGTTGATCCTCCAGGATCCCTCCATTGTAAAGTGGCTCCTCCGCATGCGGCTTACACTGTTCCACAATGACACCCACCATTAGAGCGTTTTCTTTCTCTTGCAATCCAAACTGTTCAAGGTAACAAACTACTAGCCAAATACTGCAAGAACTGATGCTCCCTCCTCTACCAAACATTCTTAGTTGCAGCCTTTTTTGTCAGTCGGATTGAACTTTGGAACATAAAACATTCCATTTAACTTGTTATTGGCTTTCTGAAAGTTTCAAGTAGCAGAAGTACTTGTTTGTTATTGAAGCCGTAATAGTTTACTTCCCAGTTAGTACTATTCAGAACGTTAAATAAATAATGAAATGTAAATTACAAACTTGTTGCTAACTTCCCTCTTCTTTTGAGGGAAAAAAATATATATATACGCTGACATTGTTGGCTAGAAAGATGTTGGTACCAGTAACTAATAAAATAAATCAGATGCCCTCCATGAATGTGTTAAATTTGTTTAAAAGAAGAATTTCCAGCTACCAAATAGCAATTAAGCAACAAATCAGATGGAATTCAGGGAGTCAGATTGAGAGTCGCCTCACCTCCGTGTATGCCGAGGAATCATAAGGTGGCCCATCTGCAAGTCAGCAGATAAAAAGATAATTAAAACATGCTAAGTGGTACACAACTAAACGTAAAAACCTAGGAAAAGGCAGCAGTATGAGATAAGATAAGGAGGAGAGAAGCATCACGTAACCAAAAGCAGAAGCGAGGGAAAGGCCAGAAAATAGGCCCAAGATCAGAAAGAGGCAGATGGAGGAAGGCCGTCCCATGGTCTCCCATGTTTTCTCTTTCCCCAGAAATGAGGATGCATTGTTTGGGGAAGAATTGGGCATTATTGGAAAAAAAGAAACATTGGATTCCAGTTGATGCCCTGCAAGAAACTGACAGCTAAAGCAGCAGTGAAGGAGTAGCTGCTGGAAACTAGACAAAGAGATGATGGGTATGGGAGTGGGACGGATTCACAAGATAAACAGTGGGTGCCCCCTGGCTGGCTCTCGGGGAGTGTATTTATGCTGCTTTGATTCAGTGGGTAGTCCCCGTGCTTGTTCACATGCTGTGTAATATATAAGCTGGCTGCATTACTTTGGATTAATTTTGGAGTACAGCATTAAAGGTTCACACAAATGAATCTTTCCTACTCCAATTCCAGTTCTTAGCTGGGTATTGTCTTGTAGTAGTTGGCAATTTCCATTTTCTGTTGATCAAGTTATCTTTAGTTGGTTTTATTGGTATGATCAATAGTCATGACCTCCAATAATGCTCCACTTTTGGCGCAAAATAATAATAATAATGCTAATAATAACAATGCTCGACTTGACCACCAACCATATTAGTAATACTGAAATTGATTTCTTCAAGAGCCCTGCATTTTTTCCCTTCAATAGAACTTCTCAACCAAAATCGGCTCTATTTTGTTTGGAAAGACGCTTCTGTTATTACAGCTTTACTTCCTTCCTTTTGTGTTTGTATTCCATTCAAATTAGAAATTGCAACGGATGGCTGCTGGGCTCAAGATCCAATATGGTACCTAAATCTCGACACAATGCCACCTGCTCCATTGAACTCCACGAAGCTCGTGTCGGTGGCAATACTTTGTGATTGCCACATCGGAAACGACGCAAGATGAGGCTATGCCGCTTGCCCACATTTGCTATGTTTGTGCTTTTCTCCAAGTTTTATTTTAGGGCTCACCATAAACTGGTATAATACTACTAGGACACAACAATAAGCTGACAACAGGGTTTATTTAGATCATGCTGGATCTTAGGAGGTTCATCGCTTGTACCAGGATAGCCACCAATGTCTATTGCATTCTACAATGTGAAATTTGTGGAGGCGCTAAAACAGTAATATGTAAAATCACAACAAATCTTTTCTTGACACGGTTGAAATTTGTGTACCATTTTCAGTCCTATCCGTTCAAATTTTAAATGGAGCCTGATGAATACATACATAAATTGCCTGGCGATTGTAGATATCTACCTCAATCCCACTAAAACTTTGTACTGATATCCGTTGTTTAGTACCACCCTATTGGATTAAGAACATGTTAAACCTCCGTAATTTAAAACAAATATTTTGTCTGGCAAAGATAATTGAACATTGAATAAATCAGTTCAATGTTCTAAGCATCACAATAATCCAGCAAGATTTAACTATTAGCGCGGCGAGTACGTGGGATGTTCAAGATTTAACTCAAGGATGCGGTAATGATACTTGGATCAGATGTGATGGTCAGAAATGCCTTTCTTGCTCTTCCCATGCGCTTGTACCATTATTATATTTATAGCAGTGCACGGGAGACACTCAAGTCAAAAGTCCAGAGGGTAACGTAATGGTGGCGGAAAGTAGGTTCAGATATCGATCCATTATCCCCTTTTCATCTAATTCTATATTAGTAATTTCTGAAGGATATATTTTTCCTACTTCAAAAACATAATTTAGGGAAATCTATGAACTCGACATTTGAAAAGTGTTCTGTCTAATGAATATTTGATAGAGTGTAAGAAATCATATATGTAATAGAATATGGTCTATTTCCATTGAAAAAGAAATCTTTTCTTTTGAAATCTCGAATTAAGAAAAGTGTTTTATCAAAAATTTTTTTATCTTGTATATTAGAAGAAATTTTTGAATATATATTAAAAATTAGCTTTTGATATTTAAGATTTCCTCTAAGGATGGATACCAAGAGTTGCTTCTTCTCTATTTTTTATTCAGTTATCAACTATAGCAAGATCTATAGGAGTATTTTGTCTCTCTCTAAATGTAGATTTAATAATTATTTGAATAGAACCTATACTAGGAGGGGATCACCGCGCGATGCGCGGTGGGTGAATGTAACGATGCCCAGTAATGCCCAGATGAATAATAAATTTTGTAAAATTAGTTAATTCAAAGAAGAAGTAATGTAGATTAGTTTAGCTAGGAAGAAGTGAAAACTACCGGTAATGTATTCAATTGATGGGTAAATTACACTGCATGGTTCAGGTAAATTTATTAAGCATCCGAATAAACATTGAATGTGTGAAACCAAGGAAAAAGTTTCTCAACTCCGGTATCATCAAAGATCAAAACTGTGAATATATTTTCAGATTCCGGAATAAAGACAAGAGTTTCATTGTGCTGCAATTCATGTTGAAGAACGAAATCTCTCCAGTTTCGGTGAAGGCGTTTATGCTTTACACCAACTTGAGTACTTCTGTGTCCAGTGTTGATAAGTAACATGGGAGTCTTGATACCATTGATGAAGTGATCAATAAAGCGCGGAATTTTCTATCATCAAGAGGTGCAGATTAGAAGATATATAGAAAGAAAAGGCAATTGCTTGTGAGAAAGTTGAGATGAAAAAGAAAATGCAGGTAAGCATAGAATAGCTTACCAAACTGTTTGGAGTCGCCGAGTTAAAGACTTGATAAAAGCAAACCGAATCAGATAGATCTTGACAGAAATCTGGCCTTAGTGAGGAAGAAACTTCTTGTTGTCCAGCGGCTATTTGGATACCATCTGTAATTAGTGACTATGCATTACATTAAAAATAATAGATGATATAGATGTGGATGCGAGATACATACAATGGTATGTTTACCTCTTGATGCAATAGGATTCATGTGCAATAGGTCTGGCAGGGGAACGGTCCAAGACAAAAGAACTTGTTTCTGTAGTTCACAAAAATGAATGACATCGAATATTAGATTTCCGCTATGTCGAAGTAATAGTGTGTCATGCCTTTTGACAATATTGTCTTCACAAAAAGCATCCCAGCCTTGTGCGAATGCATGGTCCGTGACTGTGATAGGCCATTGCCGCAGCCCAAACCTCAGAGTAATTCTATTGCTGTGGTGCTGATGAAACAATGATTCAAACTGAGCAGGTAATACCTTTAAGAAATGCAGTAGGAAAATACTGTCAAAGAATACCATGCTATTTAACACTAAATGCTGCAATGTAAGTGAAGGAGGTAAAAGTTAACCTGTCCTCTGTGGATGCATTTTAGTAGGAAACAGCAAGCTGATAAGCAACTATTTGTTGGTTGAAAATTTGTTGGAGATGTTAAGATTGTTGCTGCCATTGAACTACCAAGAGGAAAATCGATGCTGGAAAATCAGACAAGTGATTTACTAATAGAAAATGCGAGTACAAGGCTATATCATATGATAAGGATTACAAATACATTGTAGAGCAACCCACGTCCATATGATATGCTCTTTGTAAATGGCAAAGAGCATATATATAAAGAAAGGATCAATGTAAAAAGAGTATACTGTTCATTGCTGTTAATGCTAAGTGCAAGTCTTTTCCTACCACAGTTGAATTAGTTGTAGAGGAAGGTAAGGACCAATGAATAGAAAAGACAATTCAATGTGAAACATTTAAGTGTGAGTTGTCAACCGACTGCATGTGATAAGGATGCATTTGTAATGCTCTAATGGCCGGAAGGCAAGATCATAATTCATTATGTAATGCTTTAATGGCCTGTAATGCTTTAATGGACCTGAATATATAAGTTTTATTTGTAAAAAATGTTGCCATTCTCAATAAATGCATGCGTACAAAGCTGGAGGCTGTAAATGCATAATATTAACTCTACTGGACAAAATATAAAGAAACGGAAAAGAATCTCAAATTATATAGATTATAAAGCTGCTAGTTCTGCAAAATATGAAGTAGGAGCTGTCAATTGATAGCATGGGAAGTAATGCATTTGCAATGCTTTAATGGTTTGAAGGGAAAATTATTATGCAACGTGTACGCAGCATGCTAAGTAGAGCAGATAGTCCAGCATATAAGTAACAGGAACTAAATATGTAGCCAGAGTAGATAGTCCAACATGTTCGAAATTGATAGCAGCAATTGTAATTTAAAAAAACTATAAACAAATGGAAAGGAAGCCAACATTGTATAGCTTATAAAGCTATCAGTTTTACACAAAGGGAGTTCATCGCCAGGAATCCAAAGATATCTGTGAAAATCCTTATGCTAACCAACATTGTAGGATTTCAGTTAATCTTTGAAAGCCTGGCAAGAACTCTGATACAGGTGCCATAATCAAAGTTCAATGGGCATGACAAAAAGAAGTTTAGTAGGTAACTACGCACAAAAGCCAGGGAATTGTGAATGGACGAGCAGTATTTGCAAAAAACGCTAACAATCTGTCTAAGCATAGGAGTGCAGATTACAGAACCCCAAAACATATTAATGCCCGAGCAATGCAAAACGCAGTGACAACAATTCAGCCTAATTTTGCTTTCTTCTTGGAGTCAGCATGTGGACTATCAAAGGCATTGGTGCTGACAGTTTCTGTTTCATCAAACTTTTGACTGAGGCGAAGACGCACTTTCGAGCTAGAACCACCATGTCCTGTGAGTGCAACATTCAGTTAAGTTAATAGTTCATCGAGAGAAAACATAGGGATGCATCACTACTCCAAGTATATTCACGAACCTGCTGTCAATAGCTGCTCATTTTCAGCCTGCTGGTCACATGAAAGAGAGACAGATTCTGGTTCATGTGTCAGTTGAGCATGACTCATTTTTGGTTCAAGTTCAGAGCAATATAAAATCGTATACCGCTGTCTGGCATCAGCGAGCTGTGTTTGAACTGGTTTAATGTGAACCAGAAATGTCTTTGTTTTAAGCTGTTCGTGGACAAACTGAAGTGGCAGCTCAAGATTCTGGACGAAGCACAGAAGATGTAAGAGTCAGAAGGAAATACTGCACTTATTATTAAATCTGACCGATTAAAATAACCTGATTAAAGTGGTCCATTGCTTCAAGGCCAGTGAAGGTAAGAATTTTTTCTGCTAGATCTCCAAAGATAGAAGCAGGTATAACTCCACTGTCATCGATCAAATCAACGTCAAAGCGGCACCTAAAATATAAGTATACAAGTGCTTAGGCGATACACTACATAACATTAACATTAAGAGGAATTAAGCAGTAACGTTAAAGCTAATGATGTAGTAATATAGGACCTAGGCATAGCAGCGCCCTTCTCTTTGCACGAATTACAAGTAAACTCCATTCCATAGTCCGCTGCAGTAGCTCGATAACATTTTGCACAGCTCATATACCAATATTTCTGGAAGATCTGTTCAAAAGAGAGTTTTGCCCTGACCCAGGCAGTCTAAAAGAAAAACATTTATTAGATGGAAATCTGAACAGGTACGAAGCTGTAAAATAACATAATAGAATATCATCTGATCACCTTCTGTGATGCGGTAACATTGCAAATTAGAGTAGTTTTCTGGTCTCTCTTTAAAGAAAGCGCAGGATTGTATTTAATGTAACTTTTTGCATCAATGATTTCTGCAATTGACTTAGCATTTCTCATTGCCCTACAAGGAAAAAGATGATGTAAGTGAAATATGTGGAAGAACGATATAAGTGACAATGAGGTGCATAAAAAAAATGTTAGTTAATGCCATTGCACCAATTTTTTAGCTGTCTCGCTTCCTGTATCGGTGGATCAACAAGCAATGCAGAATCGAACCAGGTTGAGAGAGAAACACCTGCCGAATAAACAACAGAATGAACGCTGAGCTATGTCTGAGAACCTTGATATACAAATAAAGGTTATAATACAAAAAAAAAAGCATGTTAACAGACCATTGTAGTTGTTAAATTTCAGTCTTCGACCAATGATAACAGGATAGCTGTGCATGTTATTCAGCAGTAGCTGACCTTCATTGTTCAGAAAATCATCCCATAAAGATAGCAGGACAGTTTGAGACCTAACGTTGGCATAAAAGGCAGGACAAAAATGTTTCAAAGCTATAGGAAAAATGCGATAAGGCCAGTAAAAGAGCGTGAACAATGATAAAAAGACTGCGTACTCTTCATTTAGGAGGACAAATTTCTGAACATTTGACTGTCTGGAGTTTCTAGTGATTGTCTTCATGGCCAATGAACTGATCACCACTCCGAGGACATCTGCAAGGGGAAAGAAGACAGGCTGAGGAAAGAACGATTGTGTGACAAAAAAATGAATGATAGACTATTTACATACTCACCAACGGACTTGTTTTTATCATCCATGTAGTCAGATAAATCAGCAAAGTCAGTGAACGCAAATTTAACAGGCATAATGTCTTCATTGCCATCAACCTCTTCAATGACAGTTTTTGAAGTGATCACCCACTGTTTGATTAATCCAGCACTTTGAAACTTTTGCGGAATAGTCCTCACATCAGCATTTGAAATCTTATATCTTTTATAAACCTGCAACATAGGACTCATCCTTGGAATATCAGCATTGAAGATTATCCCTTCAACTTTAGAGCCCTATCAGAAAACAGAAAAAAAATACACATAAGAATTATGATGGACAAACAAAGAAAGAGTTCAAATTATTCAGGTTTAAAAATGTAACCTCTGAATCATAGAAGACAAACTTTTGCTTTTTGGTTGGTGTTCCCAACGAATCTGTGACCTGTTACTTTTCTTGGACCGTGATCACACAGGACCAGTTTTTCATATCATGCACGATTTCTTCAATTTGCAAGAGGTTAGACATTCCTGTAAAAAAAGGAAAAATGATTATAATGTACAAGCTTGGGTATACACAAGTCCTTACCAATAAGTAAACACAGCATAGAGCGGTACAAGTATACCTGGCTATAAGAAAATTCTACTGCTGGCTCAATTCAAAAACTTCACTGAACACAACATTTCTAGTTTTGCAGTCCGTTTTTATACCATCAAAAGTTCCTGGCAGAATAAGTATTTTCAGCTCAGCCGAAGTTCTAACTCTGGACAAGGCTACATATAACTGTCCATGAGAAAAGACAGGTTCTCTCAAGTAAATGCCAACGTAATCGAGAGTTTGTCCCTGAGATTTATTAATGGTCAGCGCAAAACAGAGTCGGACAGGAAACTGAGTTCTTATAAATGCAATAGAATTCTTTTGGCTGTCGGGAGTTTGTAAGGGTATCTTTGGAATGAGAACCCTCTTTCCTTTATGCTGGCCGAAGACAATTTCAGCGGAGATAGTATGCCGGCCAAGCTCTCTACATATAAGCCTTGTGCCGTTGCACAGGCCTTCAACAGGATTTAGATTCCTTATCAGTATAATCGGATAATTTTCTTTTAACATTAACCTGTGAGGAGGAAGGCCTTTTGGATTCTGAGAATTAAGAAAATCCTCATAATCCCCCTGGTGCCGCTGGTCTACAGTTTTGTCAGAGCTAATGAAAGTGTGCAGCTCTCCAGGGAACCTTTTATTTAGTATATCATTTAGCTCATCAACCGAGCTATTTTTAGGGGTAAGAATACACCTGTTAATCATCCTATATGGATCCAGGGAATAGAGAGCTAAATCTAGGAATACAGATTGTAGCAACCTGTTAATAAAGAAGTTTAATTAGAAGCTGTATATACTAAAGAGTAGATAGATAGACCAGAATTTTTTAAGTAATGTAACCTGTTTAAGGACTCTTCTTTATCGTAATAAGGAATAACTAAATCTTTAGGTAAAGTTATTTCACCGTTGAAGTCCACAAGTTCATGCCCTTCGCCAACTCTTAACAAGAATTCTGAGAACTGAGGATCTAATATAGCTCGCATGTTTTCTGTCAACTTCAGTTTATGAAGTTTACACCACAATGGAGAATTGAGAAAACACGACTGCAAAAGGATTTCCTTTGTTGCTTGCTCAATAACAGGCAGCGTCTGGCGAAAATCCCCACCAAACACAACAACCTTACCCCCAAAAGGCAGTTCAGATTCCATGATATCTCTAAGCAAATCATCAAATGCCTCAATAGTTTCTCGTTTTGCCATGGAAGCCTCATCCCACAAGATCAGTTTTGACTCCGAGAGCAGCCTTGCAACACTGCCTTGTTTGCTAAGCTGGCAGGTTCTGTTCTTTGAGAAGTCAAGAGGTATCTTGAACCTTGAGTGTGCAGTTCTTCCTCCAGGCAGGATAGACGCTGCAATCCCAGAGGTTGCTACTGCAATGGCTATATAACCTTGTGACCTCAAAGTAGCAAGCAGCGACCGGTATAAAAAGGTTTTGCCGGTACCACCAGGACCATCAATAAAAAATGAATGCCCTTGGGAAGCAAAGCACGTCTGTAAGATGGTGTCATAAGCATATTTTTGCTGGGCATTTAGTCTCAAAGACATCAATAGATCTTCCGGCGGTATTTGAGGTTTTCAGCAGCTGCGTTGGTCGCATTCATTTTGAAGAACTCGGTCAGCATGGTTTTAGAAAAATCTACTTTAGCTAACAATTGCAGCAAGTCCGAGTTCTTCGAGAAAGAAACAAACTGTTGATTTGGAAGATGAACCTGGAGAGTATAAACAGATGGGGTCATCTTGTTTAAACGGAACTCATAGATGCGCCAAAATGCTTCCGGAGGCGAGATGTATCGACCTTTTTGGAATTCTTTAATCTCATCAATATCAGTAGCACTGTCATCTGCCATAATTCTAAAGCAAACCAGATCATGCCCCTTGAACACATATTTATACAAGTACTTGACCAATTTAATGGTAGAACAAATCTCCACGTTCATGTGACAATCGAATAAAGCAAGGAGATAGGGACTGTAAGGCACAACCCACCTATTATCAAGAGTGAATCTGCGAACTTTCACTTTCCTGCCATCATCCCTTCTTCTATAATATGGATAGCTATCTTCACCATGGGTTGTATGAGGGCAGAAATTTTTTGGATAATGACTCTTGCAAGAACCATCTTTCATACAAGGGCAACTTTTATCCATATCGCCACAGGGACCGTGGAGCATGTGTTTTACAACAAGAGAGTAGAGGTGAGGATATTGAAGCGGATCAGGTAATTCAGCGTAGACTACCTTGTCATAAGATTCCGGATTGAGCAACTTAAATTGAGGCTTTAAAATGAGCAACAAATGAGCGTGTGGAAATCCGCGCTTTTGAAATTCAATGACATACACGCAGGCTGCTACTTCACCAAAAATCTGTTTATTCAAGAGCTCATGCTTAAGCATCTCGAATTTAGCTCTAAAAACTCTAGCTAAAAGATCAGGCCTATCTTGAGGCTTTTCATGATACTTCAGGTTGCACTGAATTTCCTTCCATGCCGGATTGCAGGTCATGGTAAGAAAAATGTCTGATTTTCCGTACTTTTGTACGAGTGCCATTGCATCAAGATAGCGGCGCCTCATGTCCCTAGGACCACCAATAAACGAAGCAGGTAGCACTATCCTACGTCCAACTTTAGAACCTTCAGCCCGGCCTAGAGAGACACTGTCCAATATCCCTTGAAGAATTTCTGATCTAACCACATTTTGTCGGTGCCTATGAAAGTCCAGCCTAGAAGTTTCTATCTTCACATAGGAATCAACCGAAAATTGTTGTAGAAGTCTGAGACAGTGCAGCAACATCGACTCATCGTTTTCCCTTATTTGAAACCTATAACAATAATACTCTCTTGCCGATACAGTGTCCTCTTCACTCTTTCCATGGTCAACGGCTATAAAGAACAAATAAAAAGGTCAAACTAATATCGATACAGCTTATGATGCTTGTTTCTAATAATCAAAGACAGCAAGAAAAACACTTGCCTCTACGCTCCAAATCTAGTAAAAGTGAAGGGTCATCAACAGTGGAAGGATCAACGCTGAAATCAGCTTCACAAGAATCTGCATTTCTCTTCCTCTTGTGAAGTTTCTTAACACCATGGTGCCATCCACATTCACCTTGAGGGAAGAGAATAGGGTATTGTAAAGGATCGTAACAGCCATAGTAATGCTTAATTCTATGGCTGGTATTAGAGTGGGTATAAACTTGAATATGGACATTCCTATCGGCTGATTCATCATCATCCTTAGTCCATATGGCAGCAACTTGAGAGGCTGTAGGTAGGTTATAGACGCGCTGGTCCAAACCAGGATAGCAATTCAAAACAATCCTATAGTTGTCAATGTTCGGGACATTTCTGAGATTCTTAAAGAATTTGGCATAAGGATTGTTGGACAAGATACGCATAAGTAATTTTAAAACGCCTCCACGCAACTTATCAGAACTTCCAACCCTTTTTGCTAATTCTTCATCAGAATCAAAAAAGTAAAACTGAATTCCAGAAGGTTTTTCGCTTGATTGTAGTAAACCATTAAGAAAATGGTAGACCTGACCTTGAACACGGAAAGTGTAAACACCTTTTGTGTTCTTAGTCAGCTCTGGATCATATCTTGCAGCGAAGGATGTGAAGCCCAAGTTGTTATTATAGGTCCTAACATTATTCCTAAAATGAGCGCTTTCCTCATCATTTTCGATAAATAGGCGTTTAAGATCATAAGGCATAGATGGAGCCACAATAGAAATCTCTCCTCCAGAGCAGCAAAAGTTAGGAGGTTCTAAATGGAACCTCTTGGCTCCACAGTGCTCACAATCAGGAGCGTCTGGAAGAGTCAAAGCTTCTTGCGGGATTTCAGTGATTGGAAAAATGCGTTGCTGCCTCCCCCTTTTAGGTGCAGCTGCATTTATTTTAAAACTATGGGTGAGAAGCGGATTAAGTTGTGCCTCTATTAGGCTATATAGTAATGGCATCTAAATAGTTATTGAGAAATAAAATGTTAACCCGGAGTCTGCTTCCTCACACGACGACGAGAAGAACGGTCTCGAGCAAAAGGCCGTGTTTTAGATGAGAAGGCAGAAAAGTGTGCATTTTCTGTTGCAGTCACGGCTGAATCATTTTTTTCAATAGGATCGGTAGGGCGGCTGACCTGAATAGAGGTGGTTTCTGCAATCGTATAAAGAAATAAGCTAACCAAAATAGGATAGTGTCATTCCAATGAACATAATTAGGATGCGGTAGGAAGGAAAGAATAGTCACTAAGACTGCATTGGAAATAGCTGCTGGCTTAAAAATATACCTCCAGAGGTAGAAGCTGGTTCGAAAGCTGGGTTCTCAGAGAATGATACATTTTTTTCAAAATGAAGTTTTTGCTGCTCATAAGCAGAAGAAAACCGTGGTTGACCAGATTGTATATAAACTTTGGCCAAAGGAGAATAGTTAATAACGTTTTCAAAAAGATGAGAAGAACCGGTGGTCCTGCCAATGGACATCACAGGAACAGAGCAAGCAGATCTAAGCATAAAAGTTTGCTTCTCAACAGATGCATTTTTTTGCTGTAGAAATGGATCCGCATGAACAGTAGCTCTGAGGGGATAAAATTTTTCAGACTTCATAGAAACATGGTCAGAAGAGCAGTATTCTATTGAATTCTCAAAAAGACTGTTCATAAGCAAGTCCTCTTTGGCAGAGTTAACATCTTGGATAACGCTTCGAGAACGAGCAAAGCAATTGCTTGGTCGTTCATGTAACGCCACAGGCACAGAGTTACTAATTTTTCTCCTAGGCATGCAGAAATCAGATTCAACAGAAGGAGAAGAAAGGGTCATTTTTTTTCTTTTTTCTGGAAGGCTTCTTCCTTTGCAGTTTGTAAGATCAGCCTTAGCAGCAAGCGGAGACTCTGCAGATTGCAAACGAAGATGCACCCATTTACAAAGAATTGATATGCTAACACAGGAACCAGTAGGTGGGGTAGTGAAGGTGATTTAAAAAAACACCCACTGAATAAGAAGGAAGAAGGGCATCATCAACTATACCTGCAAGAACACTTGCATTCGGCATGTCGTTTGCTATCGGAGTAGTAGAAGCAAAATGAACACGCGGAACAAAAGAAGCAGACTCACGAGAAGACATATACTGCAATGCCTCAGTAACAACACTGTCATGATCGCTCTTTAACGCTTCGGTTCCTAAGATTTCACTATGCATAGAAGGGTCATTCGCACCATCGAAATTTTCAGGATGCGAATCAGGGAAACAAACACCTGATTCTATATAACCTAGAAGAACCTTGCGAATACGTGGCAGTAAACGTGCATCTTTTTTCTTGGCAGATCTGTTCTCTCTTCGTCGTTGCAGAAGTTGTTTTTTTTTCCAGTGGTGGCATTTCTGCATACTTTTTGCGGCGAGCGGCATTTCTATCCATTCGAGTTTCACTAAGAGTTCTAAAAATGCCAAAGGGCTATATAAAGAAAGGAATACCTAACTTAGTGAAAGAAACGTAAACCAAAAATGACAGAAAACAGAGCGAGCAAAAAAAAAAAAGCAGAGAGGTAAAGGAGTAAATAGTCAACAACTGAGTAAACAACAAAAATGTAACAAGAACCAAAAAGTCAGGCAGGTAATTATAGTGTAGGAAATAGGAATTTTGTCACCATCAATGGAACAGCACCAGGAAAATAGAATAGCATGGACATAAAATGGATAGAGGCCACAAAAGGTTAAAAAAAGTCACATAAAGGATAAAAAAAGGTAAAATTAGAGCAGCATGCAGCTAATGATGCATCAAAAAATGCATGGCAAAAAGGCACAAATTAAGGGATAAAATGCAGAGGAAAGAGTCAATAAAACGAGAACAAAATGAGAATAACTAACCTGCTTGTATAAAGAGGTCCAACACCGCAGAAGCGAATAACAGTAGAAGCTATCAAAGAAATCACGAGCAAGTAAGAGGTAATAAGAAAAGGTGTGGGGAAAAAGAGCGGCAAAAAAAAGAGCTGATTTGGCTATAAAAATTTAGCAGAGACAGGGGAAAAGTAAAAATGGTCGATCCAGCACACAACAAAGTAGAGAAGCAAGGAAGAGATTTAAAACAAAGCAGCATGACAGCAATGCTTAAATATTTGAACAAGTAGAGGAAAGAACAAAAGAAATGAAACTGTAAAAATCAACATGCTCACCAAGAAGCAGTGACAACAGCACCAGTGTAAATTAAAACCAAGGCAATATATCGGGAAAATAAAGTTTAAAAGAGCTAAAGAAAACGAAGTATACTGCTTATGAGGTAGCTCTTTCTTCCAAGCAAAGAAGCAAGAGCAATAGAATAGGGAAAAGAAAACAGTACATGCACAATTATAACTGTTCATGAGTCAATAGTCCAACAACCGAGCAAACAACACATATTTAACAAGAACAAAAAAGCCAGGCAGGTAATTATAGTGCAAGAAATAAGTATTTTGTCAGTGGCAACGTAACAGCATTACTAAATAAAATAACATGTACATAGAACGTATAAGCTAGCTAACGATGCATTAGAAAATGCACATCGAAATGGTACAAATTAAAA